GTTTCACTTTTTAAATGGAATTACTGAAATAAATCTACTTTTTCATGATATTCTAATTTTATGACCAGCACCTGTATGGACACCCTTATGTTTGAACATGGTGTTTGTTATGGACAATCCATGACGAGCACAGAAGTCCAATAACAAAACACCGCTCGGGTTCAGATCAGGAGGGCTGTTCCTCCCAACCACGCCTCTCCAAGTCTCACAGGTCTCCTTATTTAAACTCAACTGACAGGATTAAATAATCTGATTCAAATTAAACCTGGTCCACTGAGGTCCTCATGGACCGGACCCTGTTGGTGAGGCTGGATCCGGTTATAGGGCCCTGACCCGGTCCCACCAACAGGACCCAGTCCCACCAACAGGACCCAGTCCCACCAACAGGACTGGATCAGGTTTTAAAAGAGATGTTTGTCTAAAGCTCTTCTGCATTAATGAGAGCTGGAGAATTTCAAACAGTTGGTTCTGGAGGACTAGAACCACCCGGGCCATAGAGACCAGGTCTGGGGTCCTAAACAGCTGCTGATAGTGAGGAGTCCAAAGAATCAGAACCAGAATATTTTTATTTCTTCACATGACACAATGCTTTAATATAAAATATCAAACAAAGTTCAAAACAGTTTTTTTCTCCAGAACCCACACGTGTCCAGGTGGACTCTGGTGGGTCCAGGTGGACTCTGGTGGGTCCAGGTGGACTCTGGTGGGTTCAGGTGGACTCTGGTGGGTCTGTCAGGACCAGAAGGTTCTGTTAAAATCAGGTTTTACAGAGCTGTTTGTTTTTATCAAGAGAAAAGAGTTTTCACCTGGATCAGACTCCAGATCCACCTGCAGGCAGGCAGACCCTCAGGAGGGAGTGGAGGGAGTGATCTGCCTGTGAGTTCAGAAAGTTTCATAATAAAAGAGGTAAAAGAAGTCTTCAAGTCCAAATAAAATAAAGTGAAAGCATCAGTTTGTTGTTGGTCCAGATGTTCTGTTTCCTKTGGGGGGTCAGATCTCAGTGGGGGTCAGGTCAGGACCCCCTAAGCTCCCTCACTGCTACCTTCTCTTCCTCATGCTGAGCTCCAGAGAGTTGAGCTTCTCGTAGGACTGGTAGAAGACCTCCAGCTCACAGCAGCCCCAGGACCTCCAGACCACCAGGGTCCAGTCTGAGTTCTTCCCCTGAAACCCACAAACAACCGTGTCCCTGGCCACGAGCGCCGCCTCCTCCAGAACCCTGACAGGAAGGGGGGGGGGGGGGGGGGGGGGGGG